TTCTTGGTACAAAGCATTCTTGTGATGCTTTACTAAGAAGAATATGTTCTAACTCTATCCAAGTTAATACAAAAGATGGAAAGTTTCTATCTTTTTTTTAATGGCCGACTAATATTTCATGGTGTACATAGACAACAGCTAAAAAGTTCATTTTTAAAATTGTTGCTTAAAAGATAGAATAAAAGTGTTTATGTGTTTAATAATCAAAACAAATACAAACATTACTTCAGCAACAAGCAAAATGAAATATGAGAATATTTAAGAGAAGTGAAGAATACATGTAGGAGAGGCAGAGAACAGAGACATAGTGATAAACAAAGAAGTAATAAAAGAAAGTTCCTCTAGGCTGGAAAAATGACATACTTTCTGATTTAAAAGCCTCCAAATACCAAAGAAAATAATGAAGAAAATTATTTAATTTAGACACATCCTGGTAAAATTTCATAATACCAAGAATCAAGAGAAAAACCTATAAGCTTCCAGAGAGATGAAGTAAAATACTATTAACCCTCCAAAAATGTATTAAGCTCTTATCAGCCTTATTAACACAATTGACACAAGAAGGGAATGGAGGCCTTCAAAGTCATGAGAGAAAATCCTTTTGAACCTATAATACCACCCTCTCTCAAATGACCAATCAAGTATGATGACCAAATAAAGATAGTCCTGGTTATTCACAGAATTGAATGGGGGAAAAAGAATCACCTGGAGGTTTGTTTACAAAAGTCTCTGGTTGCTGGACTCCACCCCTAGAGTTTCTGATTCAGTAGGTCTGGGCTGGAGCCTGACAGTGTACATCTCTAATAAGTTACCAGGTCCTACTAAATCTGGTTCAGGGTTCATACTTTGAGGACAACTGTTCTAGAACTTAGCTTCTTAAAGTGGACCAGTATCAATTTGTACTATCTTTGAGGATGTTAGAAATGCAACATTTCAGGCCCTATCTCGGTCCTGTAGATCATAATACATATTTTAATAAGACCTTCAGGAGATTCATAGTTAGAAAAACACTGCTGTAGAAGTAGTAAAGAAAAGTGAAAAAGAAACTAAAAAATGATACATTAACTCTGATACTCGAAATATTTTCCTTTGAACTGCAGGGGATCTTGTGATGCACTGATCCTTCTCTGTGGGTCCAATTATTCCATTTAAATTTCATTATCAATAATCCTTGATACTTAAGTGCTGTGTAAAGGGTTTACTTTTTTTTTTTTTTAATAAAATCATAGCTGTGTACATTAATGAAATTATGGGGTACAATATGCTAGTTTCATATACAATTTGAAATACTTCCATCAAACTGGTTAACATAGCCTTTACTGCATTTTCTTAGTTATTGTGTTAAGATATTTATATTCTACATTTAGTAGATTTAACTTGTACCCTTGTAAAATGCACTGTAGGTGTGGTCCCACCAATTACCTCCCTCCACCCATCCTCCCTCCCCCTTCCCTCCTTCTCTTCTTTCCCCTTCTTCTTGAGCTATAGTTGGGTTATAGCTTTCATATGAAAGTGTGGATGTTTATAAATTGGTTTCATAGTAGGGCTGAATACATTGGATTCGTTTTCTTCCATTTTTTTTTTTTTGTACAAAAGGGTTTTATTGGTGGGGGAGGGAGGCTGCAGAGCAGCACCAAGGAGGAGAGAAAAAGAGAAAAGAGAAGAGAGAGGGAAAGGGGAGAGGGGGAGAGGGGGAGAGGGAGAGGGAGAGAGAAAGGGAGAGAGGGAGAGAGAGAGAGACTTTTCTTCCATTCTTGATATACTTAACTAAGAGGAATATGTTCCAGCTCCATCCATGTAAACATGAAAGAGGTAAGTCTCCATCTTTTTTCAAGGCTGCATAATATTCCATGGTGTACATATACCACAATTTATTAATCCATTCATGGGTCGATGGGCACTTGGACTTCTTCCATGACTTAGCGATTATGAATTGGGCTGCAATAAACATTCTGGTGCAAATATCTTTGTTATAAAGTAATTTTTGGTCTTCTGGATATATACCTAGTAGAGGAATTGAAGGATTGAATGGCAGGTCTATGTTTAGATCCCTAAGTGATCTCCAAACATCTTTCCAAAAGGAACGTATTACTTTGCATTCCCACCAGCAGTGCAGAAGTTTTCCCTTTTCTCCACATCTATGGTTTTGGGATTTTGTGATGTGGGCTAATCTTACTGGAGTTAGATGATATTTCAAAGTAGTTTTGATTTGCATTTTTCTGATGATTAAAGATGATGAGCATTTTTTCGTGTGTCTATAGGCCATGTGCCTGTCTTCTTCAGAGAAGTTTCTCCTCAAGTCACTTGCCCACCCTGAGATAGGATCACTTGTTCTTTTCTTGCTAATATGTCTGAGTTCTCTGTGGATTCTGGTTATTAAACCTTTGTTAAGATATAACCTGCAAATATCTTCTCCCATTCTGAGGGCTGTCTGTTTGCTTTACTTACTGTGTTCTTGGGTGTGCAGAAGCTTTTTAGTTTGATCAGATCCCAGTAATGTATTTTTGGTGTTGTTTCAATTACCCTCCCATGCTGATTTCTTCAAGTGTTTTCCCTGCACTTTCTTCTAGTATTTTTATAGTTTCATGTCTTAAGTTTAAATCTTTAATCCAGTGAAAGTCTATCTTAGTTAATGATGAGAGGTGTGGGTCCAGTTTCAGTCTTCTACAGGTCACCAGCAAGTTCACCCAATACCATTTGTTAAATAGGGAGTTGTTTCCCCACTGAATGTTCTTAATTGGCTTATCCAAGATCAAATAATGCTAAGTAGTTGGGTTCTTCTCTTGGTTCTCTATTCTGTTCCATACATCTACCTCTCTGTTTTTGTGCCAGTACCATTCTGTTTTGATCACTATTGATATACAGTATAGTTTGAGGTCTGGTAGTGTGATTCCTCCTGCTTTGTTTTTATTTCTGAGTAATGTCTTGGCTATTTGAGGTTTTTTCTGATTCCATATAAAATGAAGTATTATTTTTTTGAGACTTTAAAGTATGACAGTGGAGCTTTAATAGGTATTGCATTAAAGTTGTACATTGCTTTGTGTAGTATGGACATTTTAACAATGTTGATTCTTCCCAGCCCTGAGCATGGTATGCGTTTCCATTTATTAACATCTTCAGCTATTTCTTTTCTTAGAGTTTCATAGTTCTCTTTATAGAGATCTTTCATGTCCTTTGTTAGGTAAATTCCCAAGTATTTCATCTTCTTTGGCACTACTGTGAACAGAATAGAGTCCTTGACTGCTTTTTCAGCTTGACTATTGTTGGTATGCATAAAGGCTACAGATTTATGAGTGTTGATTTTGTAACCTGAGATGCTACTGTATTCCTTGATCGCTTCTAAGAGTTTTGTAGTAGAATCCTGGTGTTTTCCAGATATACAATCATATCATCTGGGTTTACTTTTTTATATTCAACTCCCAGATGAAGCAGCAAGGAGATTTTCTGCTATTACAGAATCGTATGCAAATTTCATAAACTTTGACATAGTAAAAGTGAAGTTGAAACAGAAAATCCAACTTTATTAGATACATTAGTTTGTGTTTAATAATCCTCACCTATTTAAAGCATTGGCATCCAAAGTTAATAAATAAAAATATAGAAATAAATATGTGTTTTTAATGTTTTAGCGTCCAAAGTTAATAAATAAAAATATAGAAATAAATATGTGTTTTTAATGTTTTATTAGTAATGACCAGAAGAACTAAAACCAAACAAGGATCCTTGCAAATCCAATGGTTTTTTTCAGGGGTTCTGTGAGGTCAAAGCATTTTGGTAACAATGCTACAGTTTTTTGGGTTTTTTTTTTTTTTTTTGAGACAATGTCTCACTTTGTCAACCTCAGTAGAGTGCTGTGAGGTCATAGCTCACAACAGCCTTAAACTCTTGGGCTCAAAGGATTCTCTTGCCTCAGCCTCCCAAGTAGCTGGGACTACAGATACTACCACAACACTGGCTATTTTTAGAAATGAGGTCTTGCTCTGGCTCAGGCTGGTCCTGAACTCCTGAGGTCAACCAATCTACTCAACTTGGCCTCCCAGAGTGCTACGATTATAGGCATGAGTCACTGGGCCCACCCTACTAAAGTTTTGTTTGTCTTTTTCTCATTCTTTTAAGAGAGTACAAAGTATGAAAAGGTTATGGGTTCAGTTTTTACAAATAACCTTTAAGAAACTACCACATATCAGGTTTTGGTGTGTTTCAAAGAAGAATATCAATGATTACCTAAAAAAATTCTTAAAATATCTTTCTCTTTTGAAAGTACTTATTTATGTGATGTTAGATTTTCTTAAAATACTCATCCAAAATAAAATATGTTAACAGACTAAATGTTGAAGGAAATACCAGAATCTGGTTATCTTCTATTATGCTAAATATTACAGATTTTCAAAAGTATAAAATGATGTCACTAAATTTTTTGTTTGGAAAGTTATTTTTTATAAAGATGCTTGTGTTAACATACAATAGGCTTGCTATTATTTTAAAACAAATATAATAAATATATCTGCTTTTGAATTTCTAACATGGTAAATATCAACAGATATAACCCATATGAACAAAAATTCTTTGGAAATCTCAATAATTTTGAACAATATTAAGGGGTCCCATCACCAAAAAGTTTGAGAACCACTATATTGAAAAAGCTTACCTTGAATTCTCTCCTCCAATATTTTTAATTTTCAATACACAATTCTCTGAAATGCTCCATTTCCTCCTATTAGTTTATTCCTTGTTCCTAGATTTCTCTGCTATTTTCTCCCCACTGTTTGATAAATATAATTCCTGGCCCGGATTCTTACCTGGACTACCAAGGACAACATTTGTTCATTCTTCTCCCTTGCTCTAGTTATTTCACTTTAACCATTCTTGGTCCTACCTTTTCCTTTGCTTGCCATCATCCCATTCTCTCATTTTGGTATGTCGCATTGTAAGTAGAAAAAGATACATAAAATATATAACATTAACAAATAAATGTTAATATTCAGATGCAGACACTATACCTTGTAGTCTAAGCCATCAGAACAGTTAAAGACCACACACTGGATGGCCAGAGCTTTTGCTAGATCTTTGGTAGTCTCTGTTTTTCCAGTGCCAGCAGGACCAGCTGGTGCACCCCCCAGGTCGAGCTGCAAAGCCCCCATGAGGCAAAGATAGCAGCGATCCTGAAATAAATTAATAAATTGTCATCATTGAAAGGAACTAACTCTAGCCACAAATTTATAAGTTATTTCCTTTGTATTGGAAGAGGGGCACTGTTTTCCAAGAAAAGGTTTTATAGCAATTGAAATATACTCAAAGATCCATGCACATAGTAACCCAAATCTTACATAGCAAATCCATTCAAGAATTAATGCTAAATGAAATTTTTCAAGATTTCTGATAAAAAAAGCACATATGTCAATATTAACCTAAGTGATCAATAACTTACCGTGAGAGGAGTAATAACCAATCTTGGGCATGCACCCAAATATTCATAGCCATAAGTATACTGAGAGAGAGCCATTCTAGCCACACAGTTATCCAGATCTATATCCCAATAATAGCGCAATTGTCTCTGCCAGTCAAAGGAGTCAACTGCCTCTACCTACAGGTGATATAAATGATGCATATGTTAGATACATCGATTTCAGAAAGAGGTATACATTTTGCTTACATGAAACATTTACCTTGTAGTGAACAAGTTCGGTGACTATGTCTCTTGCATGTACATCAATCGTAATCAATGCAGTTAAGATGTTTCTGTGTAATTTAGGAAGACTGCCTCGAACTATTGCAGCCAGAGCATTTAATCTCTACAAATTAAAAAAAATTGTCACAGTGAAATGTATAGTATTTTTTCACTATTTTGACCATACGGGATGACACTTTAACTTGATTAATTCCATAAAGCTTCTATAAAGTACATACTATTACTACCTCCTATGTTACATTTGAAGGAACTGAAGGTCAGAGAGTGTCGATAACCTGACAGCAGTCACACAGTTATAAAGTGGCCAAAATGAGATCTGAGTGGACACTTGCTTCAAGGAAAGCTCGTGCTCTTAACACTAGGTGATAATATATGTAAAGGACACCATTCTGCTTGAAAATTAAATGTGTTTAAAGGGGATACTTCTATTTTCAGGGGTAGTTTTTCCATTGGTAATAAGAAAACCTGATTGTCTTACCCACAGCAATGACTAAATGAAAAGATTTTTGGCAAGATTTATTAGCTTCTTATTTTTCCCTAAATTATAAATCTTTTTCAAAGAAGAGCAGTGCCTCTGATGACCTTGTACCACTGTGCTAAAATTTCACTCAGGCCAACCCAGATCAGGGACCACCTCTACATAGAAGTTGATGGAATTTCCTTTGGGAATCATTTCTTTTTTCTGGGGCTCTGGAGATGAAATTCCTTTGATGAATTTCATGATAATGTTTTATTTAAAGAAACTTTTCCCCTCCTTTTTCTGTTTTCAGGATGAATCTTTAAAAATGAAATATTACTTGGAAGTACAATTAAATTTAGAGTTAAAGAGTAGGCGTAGGTCCTTATCAGTTTGCAAATATTTTCCCCCATCCTCTAGGTTGCCCTCTTTTGCTGGTTGTTTCCTTTGAAACAGAAGCTTTTTAGTTTGATGTAATCCCATTTGCCTATTTTTTGGCTTTGTTGCTTGTGGTTTTAATGTTGTTTCCAAGAAATCAAGGCCAAGGGCAATGTCATGAAGTGTTTCCCTTATGTTTTCTTCCAGTAGTTTTATAGTTTCAGGCTTTATATTTAAATCTTAATCTAATTTCTCCTACAATTCAACAGCAAAACCCAAATAACCTGATTAAAAATGGATAAAGGACTTGAATAACATTCTCCAAAGAAGACATACAAATGGCGTACAGATATTATGAAAAGGTGCTTAATAACTTATTATCCAGAAAATGCAGATCAAAACTATAATAAGATGCTACTCACACCAGTTAAAATGATGGTTATTAAAAAAACCCCAAAGACAACAAGTGTTGGCAAGAATGTTGATGAAATAGAACTTTTGTGCACTGTAGGTGGGAATGTAAAACTGGTGCAGCCATATGGAAAACAGTATGCTATTTAAAAGTGGAACTATAGATCCAAAAGACCTGGAATCAAGATCAAAAGGAGATTATCTGCACTCTTGTGTTCAGTGAAGCAATATTCACAATAGCCAAGATGCAAAAAAAAAATGTCCATCAAAGGATGAATAGATAAAGAAAATATGGTATTTACATACAATAGAATATTATTCAGCTTTAAAAAAAGAAATCCTATCATATGTGTCAACATGGGTAAGCCTGGAGACATTAAGCTAAGTGAAATGAGCCAGTCACAGGAAATGAGGCATCTAAACCAGTCAAACTCATAGAAACAGAGTAAACTGGTTATTATCAGGGAAGAAGAGAGGGAGAAATGGGAAGCTGCTGTTTAATGGATATAAAGGTTCAGTTATACAAGGTGAACAGGTTCTAAAGATCTGCTGTATGATATTGTGCCTACTGTTAACAATACTGTATTGTTCACTAAAGATTTGTTAAGAGGATAGATTAGGCTTAGCTGTAAAACTGCATTTCCCAGCTATAGCAAAAACATTCTTGTAGAATGGTATTTAGATTCAATTATTTATTGTTTTATTAAATAGCAGCCTGCTGGTTCTATAAAATAGCAGAAAAGTATATCTTGAGCCTAGAAGTAGAAATGGCACAAATCTGGAGGTTTTTCTGGGTTTGAAGAAACTTCCATGAGCGATATCCAGAACCTAACATAATTTCTCTTTAAAAGTTGCAAACTGGCTGGGCGCCTGTAGCACAGTGGTTATGGTGCCAGCCACATGCACCGAGGGTGGTGGGTTTGAACCCAGCCCAGGCCAGCTAAACAACTGCATCAAAAAAATAGCTGGGTGATGTAGCATGTGCCTCTGTAGTCCCAGCTACTTGGGAAGCTGAGGCAAGAGAATCACTTAAGCCCAGGAGTTTGAGGTTGCTGTGAGCTGTGATGTCATAGTACTCTATTGAGGGTGACATAGTGAGACTCTGTCTCAAAAAAAAAAATCATCATAATAAAAAAGTTGCAAACCATATAACCCTGATAATTTCTTCTTGAATTGTTTTTTTCTCCTGTTTTTACAAGTATTTATGTAAATAAGACACAAACACCAATATAGTGTTCCTAAGAAAAGTTGAATACAGTTTTAATAAGGACCTCAAAGCTTTTCTCAGAGCTTTTTCAGAAATTAGAATTTCTGAAATAAAGTGAATTTGCATTGACCATGCTAATAAACCCCCCTGAGACCATTCTGCATAGCAATATGTTCAACGTAACTCTGTTAAAGATCATACCTCAAAATTTACTCCTTCAAAAACCTCGAGGGCCTCTATATGGTTACTGTCTTCTGTTTCCAGACATTCAGTCAAATCCCGGCACCACATAATTTGGGAAATAGTTAGGATAACCTGCAAGAAAACATCTTCCTTGAGCATGTAATCATTGCATCTCACTGAGAAAGGATTCTGAGATAGGAATTTAACAAGTGTGAATTACTTGAGAAGGGTGACCAGCAATCACCCATTCTGTCCTCTCTTTCCCCTGATAGTCAGCGATGGCAGCTTTGCACAGGCGACGCAGAGACGTGAACATGGCTTCTTCCACTTTACCAAGCCATTCCTCCACATTGCCTCGAGCCTTGAGGCCTTTTCCTAAGCCAACCTAGAAGGTAATCAGAGCAATGATAAAGCTGTACATCTACTGTATTTCCATAGCAGAACCCCTGGGCTATGTGATAGCTCCCCCACTTACTGCTTTATTTTATGGCTCCCCTTGGCACTGGCTCCCCAAAAGAGGAGTTTATGTGCCCTGCACGAATTTCTTCACTTATTTTCATTTTGCTGCTCATTGCCATCTGATTTTTGCCCCAGCCACTTCTCTAAACCTGTTTTCATTAAGGTTACACATGTTTTCCCAACTGGAAAGTTCAACTGACACTTTTTAGTCCTCCCCATATTTCTTTTTTGGACTTCCAGTGGCTTGATTGCCCTGTGCATTTGGGTCTCCTTCATAAGTTCCTCTTCTACTCTGCCTTTAGATTTTGTGTTTTCCCAAGATTCTGTCATTGGTCCTCCATTTTCTCTTCTTTTGTATCAGTAATGATCCTTCTTTTGCAAGAGAATCAATTCAGGACAAAGAAAATGTTTATGGTTCCTGCAACTCCCATAGGTCCACTGTTGTGCTCTAACTGGACCTGTTTCCTTGGTATTTTTCTGTAGCTACTCTGTCTGGAATGCTCCATTCTTCCATGCCCACATGCCGGATACTCCTCTCCATCACTCTTAATTCTGCGCGCGTGCACGTGTGTGTGTGTTTGTGTGTGTATGTGTGTACAAGTGTGGCCCTTCTCTGTGAAGTCATGTGGTTCTTCACAATGTGCTGATGCATTCACTTTCTGAGCGTTCCCCATGTGCTAGGCACTGCATGGTGTCCTGGAGGTGCCGCCACCAATATCTAACACTTACTGGATACTGCTCTAAATTATGCATAGCAATTCCTGAACATCTTCACCATTCCACCAGTCAGGAACTACTACTTGAATCCAGGTGGCCTGGCAGCAGAACCGGAGCTCTTTACCAGGCCACTACATGCCTCATAGTTCCAGTTTTCTCTATTCTGTTCCCAAGAATGGAACACATGTTATTGCATTTACTGTGGTAATTTTTAATTGTTTGTTTGACTAGTTTTCCACTTGTTGTTGAGCGATTTGATGGCAAGAGTTTTGTCTTGGAACCTTGAAAACTAAGGAGCCTGCAGAGTACCTGCTATGCTTAGAGTGAGAATAAATAGACCTCTACCCCTCGACTCTACAAAACTAACAAAATTTTTCACTTAAGAATTATAAACAAAAGGAACCTTACCCTTTCTCCCTCTGGTGACAGCATTGCTAAAATATCATTAGTATAAACCTTTTCTGGCTCTCCATCAATACCGGGAATTTTTCCTTCAGTAGGAGGCATGAGAGCAAATTCGAGCTTTGAAATGGAGTCGAAGCATTTCCTTAAATGGGGTTGCACAGCCTGTGGATTTCGTGTCTGGGCCAAAATCTCCAGAAGTTCATCATTTGACAAGAAGTAAAATCTGGATTAAAGAACATCCTTAAATATAACTTGAAATTGAAGTAAAGTCTTAGATAGACATAAAAAATAAATCCTTAGCCACATCTCTTTTCCAACCACTGATTTCTTAGACTTTCAATCAGACCAGCCCTGGTTTCTGGGGAGGTCACGTGTTTCAGAGTACACTGCAGTAAGATTAGTGATGATGTATCTCTACTCTGTTTCCAAAAAGAGAAATCTCTGTTATTGTATTTATTATGGTAATTTTAAATTGTTTCTTTGACTACAATTAATGCTTAGTGTATAAAAGATAGATTTGTTTTTCATAAACATTGTAAAAATTCTAGCTCTTGCTATAATACTAATTTGTTTGTCTATATTATTTGACTTTGGGCTCCTAGAGTGAAGATATCTTATTTGCTTTCCCTAGAACCTAGCTTGGTACCTCACACATATCTGGTATTCACCACATTGTTGAACAGATAGTAGATGAATTGGGTGGTTGTAAGAGAACCTTGTTTGGTTCTGTGAGCATACACTGGGCCATTCCATTAACCCAAAGGTACATGCTATTCCCTGCAGCATGTGCTATTGTGAAAATTGGCAGAATGGAGTACAATTTTGCTAGCACACCATCTCCAACTATAGGAAACCACACCTATTTAGAAATAAAGCATTTTGAATATATTTCCACATCATTTTCAGCAAGATAGGTAAAGGAAATTGTAAATTGATTTATTTTGCTATAGATCAGAGGCTGATAAATTACAGCCCAAATCTGGTCTGTCACCTACTTTTGTAAATTAAGTCATACATAGTATTGTCACACAGCCATGCAGATATATTGTCTATGGTTCCCTTCATACTATAATGGCTTAGCTGAGTAGCTATAACAGGGACTGTATGCCTACAGGTGTTAACTATGTTAACTATGTGGGCTTTTATAAAAAAGTTATTCATCCTTGCTCTACATAACTGAAAATATTCTTCTAAATGCTAGTCTTCATGTAATATAGTTTCTATATTGTGTTTGACCTTTCCAAATCACTTGAAAGGAACTTGATTTATTATCCCAGATGACTATCCTAGTTCATCCTATAGCAGGTTAGAGCAATTAACAATTTAGGTTTAAGATACTGTTTTTCAAACACCTTTCCCAGTCATAAAGAGGGCTTTCTACTGATCTCTCCCTTCTGAACTCTTTTGTGCTTTGAAGGACTATGCGTACAAACCAGCATTTAGTAAATGCCCTAGATTGTTAGTTGTCAACTTAGCAGTGTGACAACTACATCACACAGGGACATTTCTTAGAATCTCTTTCCAGTAAATTTCAGATTAGATTCGGCCCATGGGATGCTTTCTGTGACTGAGATGGTGAGAGGCAAGAAGAAACCTTTATTCTTCCATTTAAGTAAGGGTGGACTGAAGGAAGTATGGTTTTGTCCATGATTTTCAGGTATTCTCCTGACAATCACTCCTTTTCTTGTTAGGGAGCTGAGACTTTGGTGATGCTTCCTTGAGATCTCTGCTTGCATTTTAATTAATTTCTTCAGAGTGAACCTCATTTCTTCACTTCTTCTGCCTCTAGCACCTGTGAATACCTCTAATTCCCTGTATGAAACTCTTGTCCTAAATACCTGCGTGACTTTTGTGTTCCTGACCAAACCTTGCCCAAGTAATATAACCAGATGTAGCAGTGTAACTATTTCTAGGTCTCTCACGCATTTGAGAATACCAAAGTGTTAAAGACGGAGAGGCGAGTGATAGGAAGACTTTTTTTATGTGTGTTCAGAAATGTGTTAAGAGCTCTCCCTACACCCATGAAGCAGAGTGCATCACTTTCCTCAAGCCTAGGCATATTGGAGAGCTGACAAATATTCCCACCAATTAACCTAAAGAAAACTGCTCAGGCAACACAATTCTCTCTAACTTTTCACATACACATCTGTGGACCACATACACATATGCATGTGCACACAGAACACTCATTCAACAGCAAAACAGTAAAACAATACTGTGATCAAGAATCTTTTTGGCACCTTGTGTATTTACTCATTTAAAACTTCACTAAATATTTTATCTTTATCCTTGAGACTTGCACTTCTCAATCAAGATACTACCTGGAATTTTATCATTGTAGATCTTCCTTGATTCCCTCTCTGGTTCCCTGGTTCCCTGGGTTACAGGTACTGAAAGACATCTTAGGTTGCTTTATAAACTTACCTTGGAAAGATAACTCGTTTTGATTCTAAGTAGGCCTCAAGACATTTCTGAATTTGATCAAGTAATGCATTATTATTTTGAAAAGTCTCCAAAAGCCCTGTTTGTTGAAATAAAAATGTATTGGTATGGTAAAATAAACAAAGAATAAAGTTTAAATAGAAATAAAATATGCTATTAACATTTTTAAAGCTTTGGCATTATTTGACAAAGGAGTGATCTAATAAATTAACATTGGGGCTCGGCGCCTATAGCTCAACCGGCTAAGGTGCCAGCCACGTACACCTAAGGTGGCGGGTTCGAATCCCCAGCCCGGACCCACCAAACAACAATGATGGCTACAACCAAAAAATAGCCGGGTGTTGTGGCGGGCGCCTGTGGTCCCAGCTACTTGGGAGGCGGAGGCAGGAGACTCGCTTGAGCCCAGGAGTTGGAGGTTGCTGTGAGCTGTAATGCCACGGCACTCTACCCAGGGGGACAGCTTGAGGCTCTGTCTCAAAAAAAAAAAAAAAAAATTAACATTGGGAGGATTGGTTAAGAATTAACTATTGTTCTTAACATTAATTAAATTAATTAATTAATTATTTTTCAGTATGGCAAAATGTATTTTTTAATTCTTATTTTTTAAAAAACATAAGTGGGAACATACATAACAAGGTGATAGCATATATGAGTTTAAAGAGGTCAAGTTCAGAGGTTCATTGCATGCTTTTATTTTGCCTAGTCTACCTCGTAGATTATCATTAGATTTTTGAACTGAATTTGAATGTAGAATTAACATTAATTTTAATATTGATTTTAACATTTACCATGAGTGAACAAGTCTATTTAATTTGAAACAATTTTAGCTGACATCTCCCACCTTGGAGGGATAAAAGTCATTAACCAAAGCCAAGTAGTTGCCTTCTTTTTAAAGCTCCAAACAAAGCCAGTCTTTATACCCTACCCACCCTCTGCCACTTTCTTACTTATTTCTTTTCTGTGTTTTCTTCTATATTTAAATGTCAAAATTGTGGCAATAGGATCATCACTAAACTGTAGCTCATTAAGGAGCAAGATTTGTGTCTCATGCATCCTTATAGTTTTGGTGCTTATCATAATAGCTGGTTTCCCTATGTGCCCAAGAATCAAATCCAAAGTCTTTACAATGCTCTCCACTCTGAGTAATCAGTGACCCAATCTGATGCCCAGTCTCCCAATCCAAGCACACTCACCTCATTTCATAAAACCTTCTCCTTGTTCATTTCCACTCTAGCCCACACCAGCTTCCTTGCTAACAGTTGAGCCTGGGAAGCATGTTCTTCGCCTGGGAGCCTGGCCTTTGTTCTTTCCTCTGTCTTTAACACTTCTTCCTTAGATCACATATGTGTCTCACTCTCTCATTTCTGAGGGTTTCCGCTCAAAAGCTACTTTATCAAAAAAGCCTTCTGTCACACACACATACATACACAGTGCCACTCTTTTTTTTTTGGAGACAGAGTCTCACTATGTTGCCCTTAGTAGAGTACTGTGGCATCAGAGCTCACAGCAAACTTAAACTCTTGGGCTTAAGTGATTTTCTTGCCTTACCCTCCCAAGTAGCTAGGACTACAGGAGCCCACCACAACACTGGCTTTTTTTTTGTTGCAGTTGTCATTGTTGTTATGCTGACGCCATAACCACTGTGCTACAGGCACCAAGCCAAAGAGCCACTCTTTAGCACCTTAATTTTTCTCCATAGCTTTAGCATTGCCTGAAATGATATATGTAGGTCTATACTTCTTTTGTGAAATCCTTACAACTGATGTATTTTTTAATAAAAATTTCATATGTTATATTTTATAACAAGTCTAGTAGGGACTGAGATAGCACTCTGTAATAATAGAAAATATTATTAAATAATATTTCTGCAGCAAATATTTCGAATGTGACATTTAAATGGTTATGGTAAGCAGAATAATGGCCCCTCAGAGACATCCATGTCCTAGCCCCTAACATGTGAATATGTTAGTATGCATGGAAAAGGAACTTTGCAGATGTGACTAAGCTGAGGTTCATGGGGTGGAGAGATTATCCTGGAACATCTGGTGGACCCAGTGTAAGAAGGAGGCAAGAGAGTCAGAACTCGGGAGGAGCAATGATAACAGAGGCAGAGGATGGCATGATGTGATTGCCATCAGGATGGCAAGATAACTCTGAACCTAGGCACATGGCAGCCTCTAAAAGCCCCAGAGAGTTTTCAATTCTATCATTCCATGTAGTTTTTCCTTTCTGTTTCTGTCTTATGTAAGAGTTTGAGGGCAAAGAGCGCAGCAGAGCAAGCTGCATCTGTTTAGCAAGGGAGCTACCTGGGGACACTGACCAGGACAAGCTGTGTGTTGCCATTTGCTGAACAGCAGTAGGCATGCCAAGGCTTTGATACAAAACATAAAGTTCAATAGCCATGTATAAGTACATGTGCCCAGAAAGATTTTCACATCCACAGAAATAGAGCTTATTAAAACACATTTAAACCTTGAGGCTAAAGAACTGCACTCAGTGGTAAAACTTTTAACTAGTTTTAATGAATGAATTAAAAATAACATGTGGAAATTTTTGTGATTATAAATGTAGAGGAGCTTTAATTGAACAGGTCAACTGAATGCAAATGTATGTCCTATTTCACAAATTTGAGATGAAAACATTACTTAGTAGTGAATGAAAGCATTACTTAGTACCCTGTGGCAACATCCTCAAATCATAAAATCAGCAAAAAGAAGCAAATTCTTGTGTTTCAAAACTGCAAACTAAGCAGAGATATTAATAATAATAAAAGCACAATGTTCCATTCACATTTGCTTAGCAAATGTCAAATGCAAATGTTGCTAGTCATCGATGCTGAGTAGAAATCAAAGATTGAATGTAATGTGTGTTGGTAGATTCTCATAGATGAAAATCATTTTAGATAATTGTACAGTTTTTTTTTTCTATTTGTCTTTTAAAATTTTTGTTTTATACCTGGTTGAGTAGCAGCTCGAAGAGCATTAGGCAGTCGGTTCACCTTTCTCATAATTTCTTTCCAAGACTTATCCACCTGCAGGAACATCTTGGCCTCAGCAGGCAATTGCCTCTGAATATCTGGAGCATTAAAAATACTTTCTAGGTAGAGCCAGTTTCTCTGGCAGGTCAGCCACTCTTCCTGGGAGAAAAACATAGACATTATCAAATTTTAACTTCTAAATTAAAAACATATGGTTACATTAAGAAATCATTACATGGGGGATTACTATCTTTTTCCTTAAGGGCTGTTTAATAACTCCTCACAAGCCATTTGAAATTAAATTTCTTGAAGAGTTTAAGACTCACCTCTGTCTGACTTCATCCCACTCTCTGGAGTTATAATGAGTCTACTGTGTGGTAACCAGAATGGATTTAGAGAAATATGATTAAAATACCCTCAGGAGATGTTCTAGTGGGTGGCAAGATGCTTACTTAAAGAAATATGAATGGTTGGGGAGGTAGTAAGTTTAGTGACTTTTCCTAAATATATATTTTATAATTAAAAAATTATCTTTGTCTCAAATATGTCTACATTCTTCCCTCATCTTTGTTTTTTTTAAAGCTACTCATGACAGAACATGTGATAGAGAATACTGGGAAGAAGAAGAAAATCATGCACTGCCGCTCCTTTTAGAGACAATCCCTTTAGGAGAAGAAATCAGAAATGTTGGGTCAGAAATTAAAGTCCACATACCTTACCTTTTCTCTATTCCTTCTACCACTGCAAATGTGGACGCAAGATTCATGAAAGAGAGCCTCGCTTCTCATTCTAGATTTGGGAATTATGCCTAAGCCTTAATGTCTCAACCACTTCTTGATTTATTTCAGGTCCTACAGTTTCTATACAATTCATTTTTCTTTTCTTTTTTTATTTATTTCTTATAGTATAACTGTGTACATTAATGCAATCATGGGGTACAGTGTGCTGTTTTCATATACATTTTGAAATACTCTCATCAAACTGGTTAACATAACCTTCGTGTCATTTTCTTAGTTATTGAGTTAAGACATT